TTTTTTTTTTCTGAGGACGAGTCTGAAAGGGTACGCGATGCCTCACACCAGTGAAGACAAACAAGACTAAAACAAACGCGGGGAGGACTTATTAGATGCAGCGGAATTAACGGAGGAGAGAAGCGGCAATAGTCACAAGCTGCTGCCGCACAATACAATGGAATATAAAAACAATTTCCATTTCATTTCTTATCACATCACTTATATATCACGGAAGGGGAAATTGAAGTCATGTGACGGGACATTTGCATATCACGGGGAACTGAAGGACAACTAGGCAACGCGAAGAGGTTCAGCCGCCAACTTCAGTCCTTCCTTATACCAGCAAATTCTTCCTTTTTAACAAGAAATTTGATCTAGATATTCACCAGCCATGTGGACAACTTTCATTGAGTTATTGGGCGGATGAAGTGAAGACACCGGTTACAAGTTGTTGACTTCCCTCTTCCTTCCGTGGTAAATACTTGGTGCATTACATTGGCAGTAGTTGCCCTACCCACTTCCCATAATAAGTAATCATCTGTTTTGTAAAAATTGTTCAAGAGTGATGCGGAACTATAAGCGGTCACGTATCCCTCAAAAATCTGAAATCAAGTTTAAATAGGGATATGTGATGGGTGCGTATTTGCAGTTGTCGCTTTTCAATATTTTCAAAAAGCTGGCTGTTCTTTACAAAAATCGACCGATGCATGAAATCAAACGAAGTTCCCATTTTGAACTATATCAGTTTGGTTACCATCTTTTGCGGAAATTTTTCGCTGATTACAAACGGATCGGGTCGAGATTGCTTCCGGAAATTTTATTTTGGAAAGGACCAAAAGAAAGTTTTGAGATCGCGAATGGGTATGGCGCTTATGAGTAAGTCTGAGATTAAGTTGTACTGATTTGTGTTTTTTCGGTATTGTGTTTCAGATAATATACGATGAAAGGTTTAGTATTGTTATATTAAGTGCCTACTCTCTGACTGGGAGAATCAATCCATTGCACGATACCTTTATTCGTCTGCGTGATAACTTAGTGTTCAAAACAAACATCAGCTTGCGTTAGAAATTCCGAAAGTAGAAACCATTAACATGCTTGACAACAGGTGATCGCTGTTAATTAACGAGGGGAGGCGGAAATGGATGGGCGGAAATGAGGCAAGGAAGGGAGGTTGCTTCTGCATTTCATAGTAAAGTTGGAATGAGTTTTCGGCTCATACAATAGTTTAGAAATGATATATTTTAACAAGAAGTTCCGTTGACTGTCAGTTAGTGGTTACGTTTGAGTGAAAAGAGTGGCCACCCAAGCTCTGTTACATTCATAGTGCCGAAATAGATGAAAATGAAGAAATACTGGTGCAGGAGTTCTGGCCCAGCTGTCAGTGGTATTTGAGCGCATTATGGTGAGAAAAACCGCTGAATATTAGGACGATTTGAATGGTCTTGGTAGTATTTGATGTGGAAAATATGTTTATTAAATCAAAAGGTTCAGCTTAAGATTATCAAATTTTGAACAGAGCTGATATGAATTACGTGCAACGCAATATTTGATTAAATGGAATTTACATTAAAACCTCAACAAAGCTTTAAGTGCAAATGTGAACAAGCTGAGTAGATTCAGAGCGCGTACACCGTGTAAATGGCAGTTTACAACTGAAGGTAGATATTTTAGCATAGGAACCTGGTTTAGTTTGCGTTTGGGATGCCACTGCATCGAACCTTTTGCCCTACAGTTAATGAATAACATAGAATTGTTTGCCAGGATCACAGCTTGCGGCCGAAAAGGTAAAGAAATTCTATGGCCCGAAGAATTGGACAATGAATTGAGGGCTTTATATGAGGAATATTTGCTATTTGAAGAAAAGCCTGAAGGTACTATTGTTTTGCAAATCTTATTTGGAAATTCATGTGTTGCAATGGGTTTAGTAAATTTCGAAAATTTTTTATTTATAAATTTACTTTCCAGTTTCACTTCTCATTCGTTAGTTTAAGAAATATGAAAGATTAGGCTAACACGCACAAGTTTTAGTGAAAATGTGGTTGAAATTCGTGCCCATTTCATTGAATGGGCACGAATTTCAATCAAATTTTGCTTTCAAAAGTATTATGATGCCTTAAAAAAAGAAGTAAGGAGTTTAGAAACAGTGGCGCTAAAGTGATTAAAGATGTCACGCTGGAGTTTATGTTTGGCGTGTTTATTTTATGAATGCTAAACTCATAGGCGTGGATATTGTGGAATACATAGAGCAGGGTCTGTCGCGTTCACGCACACGTCGGCAAATCATTCGGCATATGAAAAGTTATGGACTGAATTCGTTTGGTCATCGAGCGAAGAGGAAGTAAACTTTACTGATTTTTTGTGTTATCGGTGAATTCAGATCAGCTGCTTGCTCTCACTGCGTGATAATAGCAGTTTGGGGCTGGCTGGTCGGAGTAACTGTTTATTTCTTATGCTTTTGGCTCACTGACGCACAGCAAGACTATAAGTTGGAGATGGGAATACACGTTATTTTAAATACTCTTAATTATAAAGTGTTTGTAAGGCTTTCTACAAGTAAAAACAGATAGCCGAGCAAGATGTATTTGCAGAGTACTTCACGACTGGGAAATTTGTGTGAGGCGGTATGATTGCATTTCAGTAACTGTGTTAGATTTCTCCTTGCCTGCCAATTGTAATCTTTGGGGCGTTAAGTCAAACAGTCTTTGTAAGTTAGCGCAGACAGTAAGCTGCGACATTTTGGTGAATTCTTTTACTTTTCTGTCTACTTTTTTTCTTTTTTTTTTCAGCGATGCGGAAAGTAGGCCCAGTTCAACAAATTTCGAGCCAGAAACCATCGATCGGATACATTTTCTTGTAAAAGAGTTCAAAAATACAACTCATTCGTCTCCATCAGGTTTATGATAGTATGAATTGATAGAATTCATCTGAGCTGTTAATTTGTCAACTTTTTTTTGGTTGCTGTTATCGAAGTTGCTTAACTTGGATGGCTGACTTTATTTTCTTTTCATTTATTATTTAATCCTTTTAGCTCTTGCTGCTTTTGATTTTAACTTTCATCCTTTTTTAACATGATTTTCTTGATGTCAGCTAGGCATGTCATAGGTAAACCACCACTCACCGATATCCGTGTATTAATATTTTTGCCACATCATTTATGTTAATCATACTAGAAGATGTATCATTCTATATTTTTGTTTAGATGATTTGGTTAATTTTATACGTAAAAATCTACCAAGGAAGTATAATCGAACACAGATTATCAAACAGCTTCGTTATGAAGGCATACACTACGAACCACCGACGAAGAGAAGGTAAATCTACAAAATTGACTGCAGTTTTAACACTGGTGTCTAGAATATTGGTCACAGGTAATCTGGATCTTGGTTCTGAGCACTCGACAACTTTTAGCAGCTATGGCGTGCGCTGTCCTCATCCATACCAATTCGTATAATTGTGTCAGTGGTTCGGTTCGAACGCGGTAGTTATCTTCACTGGTTTTTTTTTAACACCATCCGTCCCAATCAGCCGTTCTCCTAGTTATCCGTCATTACTGTCACCATCAGAAAATAAATGTCTTCACACCTCTGTGATGGCAGTTTTCTCTAACGTTTCACAGATACAGCTTGTATGCAAATCTGATAAGTAACGTTCTCAGCGCTTTGTTTTGGAAGGGATGTGCTATACTGCGTTGTGTTTTACTGAGTCGAAAGTTTTTGGGAGAACAAGAAGAGATTTTGGCAACACTTAGTTGTCTGCATGGCTATGCTGGTTTGATAATTGGTCGAGTACTGCTTTCTGAATTCTGCTTCTCTCCTGTAGTTTTTATCGAGTGTATTTTCAGTTTTGCGAAAAAACTATGTAGAAAGACAACGGGCATGCTGGATGACACTGCAGAACTCTCTTTTAGTTGATTTTGCTGAGTTTAGGTACTAAAAAAATTGGGCCGAACGCTTTGCAGCGTTTTTACTTGCCCCAAATTTTCCCATCAGAAGTTTCCTACTAACCTCCTTGGCTTTATGCTGGATTTCCGTGGTGCCACTTTTTTTGCTTGATTTTGCTGAAGTTAAAAATTGTATATCACGTTTTCGACATATAGCTTCGTGTAGTTGCAAAAAGACAGTGAACTTTCGGTTTTAACAAATGACGCAAAAAGTTACCTAAGTAAATTGCCTAGCCATCGACTACGGTATGATCAGCCGTTTTTGTTATTATGCGTTTTGTGCTGTGTAACAGCAGTACAAAACGCATATTGTTACGGGGTTGTCTG